CCGGACTGTCCAGAACAACAGCATGAATCTGACCCCTTCTGAGAGCAAGCTCAGTAAAGTTGCTACGGGACTCATGGTGGAAGATGAACACTTCAGGAATACGGAACTTGATGAAACCTGTACAGTTCCAGGGTGTGCTGCACATAATGCTGGAGTTGATTGCAGCCGGGCGACAGCACTGCCAAGTCACAGTCTAAACCAACGCAAAGCCTTGCTTGCTGCGGGTAGGGGGAGCGGTCGTTTCAAGTTCCGCCGTGTTAGCGATGTTTCCTCATGATCTTCATCAGCTGCTTGTGCGCAAAACAGGCATGTACATCATCTTGACGGACGGCCGAGCAGCACGGTTGCAATGAACTTCTGGTGGTCTCCGCGCTTGCGCACTTGCACCACCGCAGCATGACGGACGACGTGGGCGTTGGTGAGCAGCCACTGGTTGCCTTTCAATCTCAGGTCCAGATTCAAGAACTCGTAAAACCTCAGGACAATTCTTGTCATTACCGTCATTATTGTTATCGCTATTGCTCACCTAAGCTATTCCTGAATGAGTTAATAAGAGCTTAAGCCTCCGCACCTCTCCAACCTCCGATCCCAAGCCCCAGGTGCAGGATTGAGGACATCACCTGGTTCCTGCCGTGCACGCTTCGGACATGGGTTTTCTGGCCTGTCTGGGTTTGCGAGAACGGACGCCCACGCAAGTAACATAGGGATCTTAATATAATGAGAATAGGGTTTTGGGGTGCCTTATAGTATACTTATAATAAGAAACCCGAAAGGGATGAGATTGGTAATTCTTTACCCCCTGTATTACCTGGCCGCAGAGGCCCCATACTAGAGGCCTGCAGAACTGGAAGGCAAATGCTTCCTACCTGCGACATCCCATCTGAAAGCCCGTGCTCACCTCAGACAGGCCCTTAACTCATCAGGCAATCGCTGCTTGCAGCAGGGATGGTGACTGCGAATACGAGGCAATTCGAGCTCAGAACCACTACAATCTCTCCAATGCTGGCAAAGTGCCCTCTTTGCCCCAAGCAACGGCAAAGGCAGTCCCTGTTCGTGCGTCCTGAGAGCTGTTTAGGCTTCACCAGGGTCTATGGAGGTCTTCGGGATCTGGGGTTGAACTGCACCCGAAGCTGAGGATGATTCTTCCGATGGTGGCAGGTCGGAGAGGTCTCCCTCGGTGGCTGAAGCACCTCACCCTCCTTCAATAACTTCTTGAAGCTTTGTCCTGACACTTGGTCTGCGTAGGCTCCTGATATTGGTGTCTATCATGTTCATAGTATACGCACATAGGAAAGTGAAAAGGAATATTACTACCACTTTTTCCGACGCCTAGATCAAACTACACTGACACTTACAGTTCCAATTCAGAGAGTCTTTACGAGACTCGGACGCCGCAAATCCGACAGTTAGACCGATTTCGTCCTGGGGCTTGTAGGCCCAGGGAACCGCGTAGTTCGGCTCGGACACAGCTGCAAACACTTTCCTGGGCCAAGGGCGCAGGATTTTTTGGATTGTTCACGAACCAGAGCCGGTTTGGAGCTTCTTGCCAGCTTCATGGGCAGGAATGGCTAAACACAAGGCAAAACCTCTTCGAAACACATGTCGGGTCCTATAGGGTATGTGAATGGCGCCTTAGATCTAAAATCTAAGCCTTCAGACATCAAGGGCTGGAGGTCTGTTCTTCGATCCGCACAGCCTGAGGAGAACAAAGCAGCAGCTGGCTGCCCAAAATTTGAACAGTCTTGTACGAAACTGCCCCAGAACACATACTACAATCGGCTTGAAGCACACAAGTTCACCCTACCCTTGAACCGTTCAATTCGTCATTCCGAGCAATGCCAAGGGGAGGCTCACGACTGCATCGTTGGCATTGGTGGCATCTTCCAAGCAGGCGCCCTGGCCCAGGAAGTGGGTTTCGGGTTTAGGGTTTAGGGTCTTGCAGCAGTGCACTTGAGTGGCCTATGTAGACAGTGCGAGAGCACAGCAGCAACGATAGGAGTAGTTTTCCCCGTCTTCCGGCCGTGCTCCTTTAGTCTGACCGGGTTAGAAGATCGTCATCAAGATGCCCATCTGCGCAAGTAGTTGTATTGTTGTTCATACAGTGGCAGCTACTACTGGCAAACTCTACTTGTGGAGACTAGTGCCATGATCACGTGATATCACATGATACACCTGTCTCTTTCTTTCTTTCTTTCTTTCTTTCTTTCTTTTTTTCATCAGGGCTATGGTTGTCTCTCCCTCGCTCTCTCTCTCTCTCTAGCTCCCTCTCTGTCTCTTCCTCCTTCGGTCTCTGTCTCTCTATCTCAGTCTCTCTGTCCCCTTTCTTGCAAACAGAGCATGTGATCTGTCTCGTAAAGCGCCATTGCTGCGGCCAGGATGATGTCAAGACTCTGCAACCCAAGGGTTGGAGGCGCACGTCCAAAGGCTTCACGGGAGACTCTGGACTCAAGGATCCACTGGGGTGCGAGATAACAGAGGACCACAACAATGAGGCGTTTTCTTGGAAACTTTCATGGTCGCGTCTGGTAGAGCAAGAGCAGCGGAGCAGCCTTCCATAGCCTTCCCGTCCCATCTATGCCAAAAACATCTAGAAGTCTCCGAAAAAGACCTGAAGCATCCCAAAGTCGCAGGCGTTTCAACGCCCTCAGCCACATAATTCAACCTCAACCTCCTTTGACTTAGGCTCCCCACCGCGGCAGGCGCAGCGCCCTTGGCGTTCTTCTTCCTCGTCTCTTTGGGCGAGGCCGCTGGGCGCTTGGCCGCAGGCATGGCGTCAGGGAGCGAAGACGCTCAACCTTACAAATATACCATCATCTACTATAGTATACTACTGTTGATGGACAAAATCCTGCATGACCTTAAGGACCTTAAACTATGGGAATTATGGTATATTCCTTATAATGGGTAATGCAGGATTTTGTCCATCAACAGTATAACCATAGTCTACTATAGTATACTATAATCTACTATAGTATAATATAACCTACTATAGTACACTATACCTCTCGAACCTCAAGGAGCCGCAGGGTTCCTTTTCGAAGCTACATGGCCGCTGGTCAGCTTTCAGAACTGGCCCTGTCGTCACCATAAACCAGGCCCCAGGATCATTTCATCTTTTCTACTCACGGTGGCTGCGGTGTTTCCTTTCATGGCCAGGAAAGACTGCGAAACGATCATGGGGAGCATGCAACTCTGTTTCTGAACCTTACGATGGCGCTTGGCCAGGCTTGATCCTCAAGCCCCAGTGCTTGGAGCCGACAATAACTGTGATCCAAGCGGCGATCTGGGCAGCTCCCTAACCACGGGTCGGGTTCGTAGATATGAGTTCTCTTTAGAGTGCAATCTCAGGGATTTGGGGTTTTCCCACCCGCCCAGCTGACCAGGTCGCACCGCAGGGATCTTGGGGCGAGATGGGGTTTCTTTGCGAGGCGGGTTACATTCAGTGTTGCGGAAGGACGGTAGCCAGCACACCTGAAGCCCAATACAATGAACATGAAGTTTGACTTTAAACGGAAGCACTTAGGGACCCGCTTCCTGTTTCAGAGTCTCAGAGGCTCTCAATCCTGAAAGCAGCAATGAAGCGCACGAGTTCAATCCCATTCCGAAACCCTATGGGGCATGCTGCATCCTGAGCCCTTGTCGCGACATCGGTCTTACCAAGTCACTTATAAGTCCAGTATTGCATGTCCCTGAGGCTTGGACGGCAGTCATCCTGGCCGTCGAAAGTGAAAGGTTCTCCTCCCACCTCGGCTAGGCCCCGTCAGTGCATAAGGCTCAACATGTGGGATACTGACGCAAAACCAGTACAATTGAAACAGTTGTAACAATGCCGAGCATGGAAGCCATACTATGCTCATGGCAGAAGTTGCTGTCATCTAGCGACAACTAGAGGTAGTACGCAGGTAGCCAGGGAAGCGTGCTGACTCCTTCCCCCATCGTCTTTGCACCATCACCATCGCAAGCACCGCCGCAACCATCACCAGTATGACAAATAATCAACACCATCCTCGCAATCGTTGCCCGCAACGTCAGGACCGATATTCTCCTCGCAGCTGTCATCTTCCTCTTCATCGTCATCATCTTCGCCACGATCACCGTCAGCACCATCACCGTTATCCTGTGCATCACTATCAGCCGTACCGCATCAGCATTACAGCCCTGGATCCACCTGTCAGTGTGCAAATGCATCATACAATGATTCTAGCAAATAAGTTGGCCATTAGAACACATCCCTAGGGGAGTGGACCGTCGGCACCTGTCAGGCCTGGATCAAAGTTCTCCAAAGCAGATTAAGCTAAAGTAACTAAAGCTCGGACCACCCCCCAAGGCCCAATCAGCGGCCTAAAATCATCGAAAACCCCCATGGTTCCCTCTGCCGAAAGCGGCCTGATCCCCTTAGGACTTCAACTATGGACTCGGGCGGACCTCGGATGGAGTTGGATCCGCCGGGGTGGCCTCGGCGGAGCGGAAAAAGCGAATGTGAAACCTACTGATAGGTGCAGCATTGAAATGACTGCCACTACCAGTAGTTGACTACTGTTCATGCTGATCGTTGACTACGGTCTTTGCCGGGATGATTATAGCTTGTTCTTGCCTTCCCAGCGGAGACATCACGGGAACAAGGCTTGCCACTAGTTTCCAGCTCCAACGCTGCAAAAAGACTACAACCGAGGAGGCTCGACCGTTTTGGGTTTAGGTTGGGGCTTGGGTTGCCTCCTGTCTGGATTGGGTCTAGGATGAAAGCGAGATTCCAAAAACCCCAGGCAAGTGGGCCGGAAACCGTTGACGCTTTCTGTCTGCAGGCATATCTACGGGTGCCACTGTATGTGGACGCATGTACCGCCGGTGTTGGCAAAGGCCATACAAAGGAACACGCAGGTTACGGCGCTCGCCCTCGAACTGAATACATGCTCTAAACGCCACCCACAACTCTAGACCCCAAGGCCTTTCCGTGTACATGAGCCGCTTTTCCCTGAACCAGTGTTCGGCTCCTCATCAGCTCAAAGATGGGGATCAGACTTCTCCTCCTCGTCCTCCAGTAGGACGTCAACTTCCGACAGCCCATGCGAGATCGCTAGGATCTTCTCGTCACCTGAACAGCAGAACTGTCATGAAGATCATCAAACGGCTTTGGTTTGGGCTCCGTGGACTGCGGGTCTTTGTGGTAGTTGAATCCAGCTGGTTCGGGATCCAAACCTATGCGTCCATGCCAACGAACTTCAAGAACTGCGCCTCCTCGAAAGCTTAGTGCTGGGTTACTGCCATTGTTTAAAACACCATTCATGGACTGATTCTTGTCTCGCGGCCTGTCGTCGCGGGAATGGCGTCGGACCCCGCTCGCTCAGCAAGGACCTGCGGCACAAGGGTGGGGGGGGGGGGAGGGTTACTTGTGGGCGTACCTGTGCGGGAAGTGTGCGCAGTGTAAGTAAGGCAACTGTGATTTTTCAACAGGGCTCGATGAAAACCGAATCAACACCTACAGAATCCTCTATGCAGGGTGCGCAGTTGCCCGGCACGCCAGAACTTCCGAGCGGAACCTTTGCCCAACATCACAAGCCATGGCTGCAGGTAACCCGATCAACTAAAGAACTCCTGAACCGCAGATTGAAACAACGCTCCCAAACAGAATGCCCCTCGCTTGATCACGTGGCCCTTGACTCGGACCTCTCCCTGTTGCGCTAAACCCCGTCACACCCCAACCTGATAAGCCCCCGCACAATAGTCTCGACAACTCCCCCCAACTACTAGTAACCCCCTTTCTGCTACGGCTACTGTACTCAAGCCTGAAGTCTAACCTTAAGGCCCCTCCCAAAACCCAACAACCCTAGACCCCTAAACCCAAAACCCCCCCCCCAACAGCCCCCCCCCAAAGCCTCGCCCAAACCTTCAGTCTGCGAAGTCGTGTAGGACACGGCCGGGAGGCCAAGAGCCAAGGACGACATGGACGACTCCTGTGTAATCTACCCCTAGGCCCCAGAGTAGTGCCTTGTTGGGGTTACCTTAATGGGATCCTAAATATAAGCCACAAGAAGGAACTACCATGGGGCCTATGGGTAGGCTCAGACTCGGACAGTCCAGGCGAGGCATATCTAGTTCGAGGTCCGCTGAGAAGTGAAACCAAAGCGAGTTTAACACCACCAAAGCAACAAAGCCCCTAGGAAGTGCAGGATGGGTCTTCCTCGCATCGAAGTCCAATCTGCAACATGACTCCACTAGTTAATGGACTTCAATGACTACGAAAAAGACCACGCCCGGGGAGGGCAAAGATGCACCTCCTACTTTATTTCAATGAGGGTTTGGGAGATATGATGGTACACGGCACATATAATAGGGAACTCTAATTCAGGCTTCTACGTTAGTTTAGGGCGTTTGAGGCGAAGTTCAGGGTTTCTGGCTTTTTGGGAGCTTCGGGCTTCACAATTTCACAACTCGGACATGCCAGGCGAGGATCCTTGGTCGAAGGTCAGGTGACACTGTTTGATTGGCCCGAAGCTTTAGGGTTTCGGTGTTACCTTTTGACGCTTCTCGAGGTGTGCGTGTCATCCTTGCGCAGTGGTCATGCCGATATGCTCTGCATCGTCCCAATTTTATCGGATGATCCCTCCGGGCCTTTAGGGTGTCGTCCTTTTTTCCACTCCCAATTCGGCAGGGTGTAGTTTAGGGCTTGGGGCTTTGGAGTTTTGTGGCTTTGGACTCTCGCGGCTTGACTGCACGGCAAGGTTTTAGGCTTTAGTGCCCCTGTAGGAGTTTACGCTCTCGCAACACCCCCTACTAGGAGTTTAGGGTTTCAGCACTCACAACTAGACAAGCAGGCGAGGATCCGAGTACCAGAGCGACAAGCACATTGGCTACTCCTAGCAGAGTTTAGGGTTTAGGGCTTCAGGCTCTGGTAACCTAGCCAATGTGTGGTCTTTACGGGTCATCACGACCCCGTGTGAAACAAGCACGTACTGTCCTCTGGCCCTTCAACACAACATCCGAGAACTGAGGGTTTTGGGGCTTGTGGGGAGTGGAGGGCTTAGGGCTTGCGAGTTTTGGGCTTTAGGCTGTTGGAAGAAAGGCTTCAACAGCGAGGAGCGTGTCTTGCTTGTTCCCTAATGCTGCCGGAAGCCCCCCTGAATGTTCGCATTATTGTTGTTATTTTTATCCTTACAACAAATCCCCAGATACTATCTTTCTTACAGGCCATCGTTTCTCTTTCTCAAAAGATGCAAGGAACAGAGCGTGTTTCGCTCTCTTTTAGAAAGAGGCTATGAATATCCCCGTGATGCACCGAACCCATCTGCCGCTTCATGTTCTGAAGACTCGTGCACAAGACGTCCCAAAAAAACTGAAAGTGTCCTATCAACTTGTGAGGCTGAGGGGTACCACAGAACTATCGAAACTCGCAGGACCCTGACACCGTAAACCCCAAAGCCCAAACCCAAAACCCTCAAAGGGTTTTAGGCTATCAGGTTACCAGTAACGCCGTAGCAGCCCTCAACCCTGCACACAGTGGCTCTTTGCCGTGGCCTTCGATGCCATGCGACCCGCATGATAGCCCTCTCGCTGTAGCTTCACAAGGGCAGCCTTTACAGGATTTTACGGTCCGGCGTCGTGGGGTTTTTTTAAGTTTCGACCTATTTGGGGGCTTGGACAGGTTCTGAGCGTGTTGGGAATTCGGGCTTTGGTTTCCAGCCGGTCCGTAGCTGACGACAGACTCAGGTCAATGCATGCCACAGCATTTCTGGTACCCAAGAGTCTCTGGAGCTTGTGGCAAAATTTGGAAGATGTTCGGCAAAGACCGACCAACAAACGAAAACAAGATGGCAAACTAGATAGGACCTAATGTTCACCACCGCCAGCAGCACCGTCAACATCAGCATCACAGCGTAGCTTCACGTGGGCAGTTGGCACGAAACCAGATCCGCAAAACAAGCGAACCTTGGGGACCTTTTCGGGGGTCTGTCGTTTGGTCCGAAAAGCCAAGCTTCAAAACAGCCCACGAAGGGCCCAAGGCAGGCTTAGGAAACAAACGCCTGCAACAGGCAACCAAGTATTGCCACTTCTACTAAACATCCTGACAAGGAACATGCTGGCAACAAAAACTCATGCAAGCACCAAGCAGCAACAGGGAGCCTGATTGCGATACTGATCTTACCTACCGTCTTCCTGGCATGTCTACTCATGTCTGAACTTAGTACAACGGCCCTTTTGAGTCCATATCAAATGATCCCGAAACCCTGTCGCACCCAAGCCAGGAGCCTTCAGTGTCTCCTTCTCGTGGTTGATTTCGTCGATCTTTGCCTGCGGCCGCCCGGAATTCCCGGGTTTCGACATGCTCACTCGCACGGGCAGGCACGCGCCCGAGCGACAGGCCTTCTCACCTAGTTCTGGGATCAGAGTTGGGTTCGAGACTGCGGCTACCTGGGGCATACATACATACATATATATATATATATATGCTACCCCCCCCCTCATGTGCCTACCTTTGGTGTGTGTTTGTGGTGCTTGTTTGTTGATTTTGTATACTCATGCATGTAGTATGCTTAAGAACTAACAGTTGCTAACAATGTCCCGTGAACACCCTCCAACACCAGATCACTACGAT